TGAACTTTTTAAATATTTTAGATGTCTAATCATGGGTAATATAAATTTCTTTTCTGATGTCTCATCACCTTTCCCGTTCAGATATTCAGGAAATCTTAATTTTGCATGTTGAGTCCAAATTTTAAGATGATGTTTATTGCTGACCTTTTACTAGCAGTTAGGAACAAAATGCAAACCAGCATTACCAAATGAAAATTTTGCAGCTCATTTCAAATCAGGTAAGAACCAACCCAGACATAAAACAAACACTGAAGCAATCTATAATGCTCTATTATCATGATGTAACATGCACTATTATTACTGTACAATTGAGTATTACACTACGACAAAAGTATACACCAGCAATGTCTGACATTTCACATTTATGACAATAGTAAAAAAAAAATCTATTATCTGTCTATTCTGTGCATTCAAAACATACATCTGGTAGTAACAAACACTGAGGTGTGAGGTAAGAGTAAAGCTGGCTGTGATGGTTAAGGTTATGTGTCAAGCTGGCTAGGCCATGATTCTCAGTGGTTTGGCAGTTATGTAATGATAACATTTGGTAGTTATATAATGATGTGATTTGGCAATTATGTAATTTGTCGTCATCCTCCGTTTTGTGATCTGATGTGGTCATCCTCCATTTTCACATAATGCTGACTTTCACATAATGACCTGGTCTTTGGAATCTAACCACGTTGTTAAGTGAGGAGTGGGTATAGAAGGTGGTGGGTATCAATGGTAGATCAACATTGTGAATATAATTAATCCCATGGCATTGGACATGTAAAAATAGTTAAAATAGCAAATTTTATGTAATACACACACACATACACACACACATATGGTACTACAAAAAAAAAAAAATTATAGGGCAGAAAAAGTATGCACCAAAGAACTTGCCTGGCTCTTCATTAATATGGCACACATGTGTTATAATACTAACTTACTGAATGTTTTAAGAGCTCTGGTAGCACAGTGCCTAAGGCATTTGACTGCTAACCAGAGGCTGGAGGTTCATATCCACCAGCCAGCCACTCCTCAGAAGGAAGGCTGGGCAATCTACTTCTGTAGTGATACAGCTTAGGAAACCCAAGGAGGGGTCACTGTGAGTTGGATTTGACTCCACAGCAGTGAGTTGAGTTACTGAATGTTTACTAGGGGCCAGGCATTGCTTTAAGCACTTTACATGTACTAGCTCATTTAATCTTTATTTACTTGTATATAAATCATATTTGTATGCTTTTTAATGCAACACAATGCAACTCAACGCAATACACTGCTGTCGAATCAGATCTGACTTATAGTGACCCCTCCTTGGGTTTCCGAGGCAGTATCACTACGGAAGTAGATTGCCCTGTCTTCCTTCCAAGGAGTGGCTGGTGGGTTTGAACTGCCAGCCTTCTGGTTAGCAGTCAAATGCCTTAGGCACTAAGCCACCAGAGCTCCTGTATGCTTTTTAGGAGAGTGCATATAAGCAGATCAGAATTTCAAAATATCACTAATGCAAAGCTACAGTCTATCTAATAATAATAAACCTTTATAAGAAATTCAAATGTATATACAGAGACAATTAACCTGATAGAACAAGTTAACCCATTACAATACTCAGTTCATTAAAATTTGGTATCTAACTTAAGTATGTATGTATTATTATTAAATTTTTTAATAGTTTAAATATATATCATAAAGATAAAATTTTAATTAGATGCTGGCAATCCCTGAAGCTCATCTGGGGTTCTCTGGAATTTGAAAATCATAGTATGAAGCCCTATCACTCATTTTTACTGGAGTGAAAGGAGCCAAATGAGATCCTTTTTTGAAAACACATATATAAAAAAGGGAAAAGAGGTTTTTAATACTAACTTAATGTTTAGAAAGGCCAGCAACATTAATATGTTGCCTGTAATCCTCATATAACACCCTTGTCTAGTAGGCATCATTATCTTGACTTTATAAGAAAAAAACTAAGGACTTGAGTTGTGAATTTTTAATACTTTAAAGAAGGGAAAAGAGGTTTTTAATACTAACTTAATGTTTAGAAAGGCCAGCAACATTAATATGTTGCCTGTAATCCTCATATAACACCCTTGTCTAGTAGGCATCATTATCTTGACTTTATAAGAAAAAAACTAAGGACTTGAGTTGTGAATTTACTTATCTAGTAACATAATTGAAAAGTGGAGAGCGAGGACCCCAAACATTAATCTACTAACCCTTCCCACCACACCAAACCTCCTCCCATCTAGCCTCTCCTGTTTGGTAAACAAGGAAAATGAAAATGAGCCAAGCTGAGTAACTTATTCCTAGAAACAGCTAGTTAGTGGCAGAGCTATAACAAGAATCCAGGAGAAAGGATGTTTTACCAGGTAACCCTCTCAGGGCCCAGGGGATGATGCCTTGTATAACAAGGTGTACCAGGATAATAACAAAATCATTATTTCCCTTCTGTATCAGGCATCAGGCTATCCACAGTTTCAATGCAGAGACTGGACAGATGAGAGGACCAATCATCCTCTTTTGAGTACCTCTAATGCGTAAAACAATGAAAAACCAAGAAAAGACAACAAGGTCTCTGTCTTCACATCTGTGTGGGAAAGATGGCACAATCACCCTTCTAGGGACCTCAGCAATATTCTGGTCCACCATTACAATCAAATAGGTTTTAAATGACGTCATAAAACATGGCACAATACAACATGTCAGTATTGTCAATAATAAAAGCTAACATTTGCAAAGCACTTCTTACGTACCAATGCCAAGTCCTTTGAATTATCTCATTTAAATCTGAGTACAATGCTATGAGACAGATAGTATTATTATTGCCATTTTACACATCAGGAAACAGAGGCTTCTTCTGTGAGGTCCCCACCTAGTAAAAATTCACACTAGGCAGTATGACCCAGAATTGCTATGTTAAGAGCTAAAAAGTGCTTTGAATTCAGCAAAGGGTTGGTTTGGGAATACATGCAGGATCTTAGCAGAGAAACTAAAGAAACATAGCGTTCAAAGAAGTTTGAGAACTCATTACAGCTAGATGATTGATAAAGGTTAGTTATCTCATGAGGTAGCCTCTAATGGCCTCTTCCTATTCCCAAAGCAATGGGCTTTTGTGAGCGAGCAGCACACTAGCCAATGACAACACTCTCATCACTTTATTCAGCTTTTCCATTGCTCCACACCAATAAAGAACTAAAATTCTAAATTGTGGTTGTTGTTATGTGCCATCGAGTCAGACCCGACTCACAGCGCCCCTCCTTGGGTTTCCAAGGCAGTATCATTACGGAAGTAGATTGCCCAACCTTCCTTCGGAGGAGTGGCTGGTGACTTTGAACCGCCAGCCTTCTGATTAGCAGTCAAGTGCTGTAGGCACTGCGCTACCAGGCCTCCCAAAATTCTAAATAGCAATAGTGATATACAACTGCAATACACACCCACCCTCACCACCAGATCAGTGGAATATAATGTATAGACTGTGAACCAGGAAGGAAAGTCACTTTTTTTCCTTGAACTCTTTCTAAGCAACCTGAAGAGAAAGCTCTCTATAATGGTAGAAGTGGGAGTGCTGGTGGCATAGTGCCTAAGGCACTTGACTGCTAACCAGAAGGCTGGTGGTTCAAACCCACCAGCCACTCCTTGGAAGGAAGGTTGGGCAATCTACTTCCGTAATCATACCACCTTGGAAACCCAAGGTGGGGTCGCTGTGAGTTGGGTCTGAATCTATGGTCCATAACAACAACAGGGATGTTCTGCATGTCATAGCAGTCCTTGGGTAATGACTGTGTGTCATAAATAGGATATGGCATTTCAGAATGTCCTTAAAGCTATTTCCTTTTGTTCAACTAATTTAATTTACCAAATGCTCCTGGGGAAAGGGGTGGGGGGGGGAGGTGCAAGATGCTGACTCTACATTTCCTGAAAAATCAACATTTTTTAACTGCTCTCAAAGAAATTACATCTGATTGTTGTCTGCTGGCTTCCCCAAACTCTACCTCCATGAAAATTCCACCCTGGCAGGTGTGAGAAAGAATAGATGCAGAACTTGAGTGAATACTCACATCTGTTTTTGGAAAAAGGGAACAGAAGCAGCACAGAAGGAAGTAAAAGAGATAATTGCTGGCTTGAACTACAATACATTTTACTTGTGGGCAGAAGGCCAGCTTACAGCAGGCGGAATATGCAGGCCCATCTTATTGGAATTCAGGGGTGGGCTTCTATTCTTGTCCGGAGACAGCTGTAAACCAGCAGCCCATAGCATCACAATCAGGCACTGAGTTTTGTCAAGGAATGCTGATATGTACAGAAGCAGCTTTGTCTGCTTCAACTGCACCCCTGCCTAGTGAAATGACAGTCAATCTCTGATTCCAGATGACAAGAACTGGATAAAAACTTAAAACAAATGGTGACCTTTCAAAAGATTAATTTGTTTACCAACAAAATGTTCCCTCTTTGTCATCTGAGATGGGGGTGACCTTCACTTTCCCATATCTAGGCTGAAAGGATGCTGACTATAGTCATCTGTTAACTCCATCTCAGCAATTATTCCCTTTTTTATTTTTAGTGACAAGAAGGGCTTATTAATTCACTCTGCTTCTTGTTATGGTTTATAAATGCAACAAGCTCATTCTGAATTACTGCAGTGTAACATCAATTTGTTTAAATCTAATTCTGCTACCGTTGCCAAATTATGTTGTGACTGTAATTGTGGCCATATGCATGGGCTTAAAACACAATCAGGTTTTGAAATCGTCCTTCTTTTTTTCCCCCCTCCCTGTTCCCACCCCTTATTTCTGGTGCTTCTTCTAATCATTTGACATTAACACAATTGCCTCACTTTCCATTACTTTATCATTTCAGAAATGAATGTGAAACAGTAAAGAATGAAACTATGATTTGTGAAGTGTGGTTGCTACCCAACTAAGTTAGTGAAAAACACTGCATAACATATGACTCATAAAATGTAGAAATCATAATAGTATTAAATTCAACCTCATGAATAAATAAAAGATTCTAAGTTTACATTGCATTATATATTTATTTATTTGGAAAGTGGGACCAAAGAACTGGCATAATTCTACAGTAACTCATATCTTGCCAGAAAGAAAAATGTTTTTATGATTCTTTTCTGGGTCATAACAGTTATAATCAGAGTTATTTGTGCAGCTATTCAAAGCAGTGCTTTGTTGGGCTGTTTTGTTATGCATTCCTAATCTTTCTTTTAAAATTCATGTTAACAGATACATGTTTCAAGCCTTTTAAGAAACCCGTTTTAGTTAGAATAAAATAAATCAAAGTCAAATTTTCTGTAGATCTTTCAGTGTGTTGTATTATAAATTCTAACTGGAACTAAATGGTGGTGGGTAAATAAAACTAGTACCAGGGATTTCTTCTTGTCTCCTTATAACTATAACGACCTACTCAAAAATATATTAGAGGGTTATTTTAAGATACTGAAAAAATCAAATGAGTTTTACTTTTAATACTTTTTTTTTTTTTGTAAATTGATTTTACATAATAGAGTCATAGGATATAAAACTCTGAAGGCAGTTTTGTGTGATATGAGTGAATGTGTGTGTGTATGGTGTGTGTGTGTTTTCAATACACTAAAGTCCTTGCATCAGCCCTTTATTATCAGGAAGGCACACTTAAGCATAAAAAACAGAAAATGCCAACTTTTAGGAAGTAATGATGTAAATTGGTTACATATTCAAACTTACTCTGTCAAAAATATCTAAGACTATTTACAGGCTTTGACAAGCTATGCAAAGTCTACAAGAAGAAAGAAAAGTGCATGGCCCTCGGCAGCCAAATAATAATAATCCCCTTTGAGTGTTTAGAGTGGTTCTGAAAGGCGATTAGCCTTGCTGTTCTTTTCTAATTAACTATACATCACAATGCTAGACACATTGCTTCAGTTTGGGTAAGAGCTTTCACATTTTTATAAGTGGTAAATCACAACTGTTTATTCACAAAGGCTCTACCTGGTTGTTTAAAACCAAACACCCACTTATTTCCCTCACAGGAGTTTTTGCACATTTTTCCTGTTTTATAAATCCAAAATTAAAATACTGTTTTCAGTTACCATTTTATATCTATGTCAATGTAAAATGATAGGGTCAACCATTCGGATTGAAATGCCAGTAATCAGTTTGCATGACATAGACACAAATACATGCATTTTAAGTGTTCCGAGGTAGATTTTTTTATGAAGTTAAGTTTTATGGCAAAAATAAATCTTTAATATAGTAAATACGTAATCATTATCTATCCACCCTACAAGGCAAAGTGCTTGAAGAAATCCTCTGTACTCAAAGCACATGGGCACCACCACTGAAGTTTCCATTCTATTTGGGGATCAGAAAAAAATGTAATGAATGATTAAGATTCTGCCTCATATTTTGGATGCAATTTTTAATTCCCTCTTTATATCTGAATCTTTGCTCAGATTCATTAAAGCAAAGCATAATCCTCTCTAAATCTAGAGACTTGCCTTTTAAAACTTCAATGCTCATCAGAAAAAGTTTGCATGAAACACAGCAGTTGCCTTGGGCTACAAAGCCTCTGCACTCCACCAGCTAAGTCAATATTAATTCTAGATTGAAGGGGAAAACCAACAACAACAAAAGAGAAATCTGCTTCTGTCTCTACAGCCAGAGAAATAATATTTTTATTTCAAGGACTTTGGGCTCATGGGAAGCCGATAAAAACGTTTTCACATTATTCACAGTGACATTTTAAATAAAGTTTCAGCAGGAATAAACTTTCTGGTTATTTCTTAGGCTATAAAAGTATTTCAGTGATAAAGTGCTCTTAAACAAACCTGTTAAAATAACATAAGGCACATATAAAGAAACTAAAAACATATTTTAGAGTTACATGAAAAAAGTAGGCAGTTGAAAATTTCTATGTAGGAAATTTATAAGATTAATCTAGGAGACAATTATGCTGGTTAGAAATGGTTTTGCAATTTAATTTTAAAATTAATCTTGTCTTTAGTTTTTCAAGGAAGTATACATTTAAGAGCTTCTGAGAGAAGCCAAAGGTTAAAAATGTACAGATGTTACCCCAGTAATTTAAAATACATGTGTTTTCAATATAAGAAATGATCTTAAATAAAATAATTTCCCTTTTAAAGTGGAACACTGGTTCCTAATTCTCCTAAGAAAACTCCACAACACAGAGGGACAGTCTTTGCTTTGGGACACTTAGCATCAAGTCAAAGGCAAAAACAGGCACAGATTCTGAGATATCAGAATGCCAAGCTCCAATGAATTATTTTTTTCTCTCATTATATTTCTGACAAAAAAGATCAAATCCTGCTTACTTCAGATTTATAATATTCTTAAATGTTTGCATATTGTACGAATACACACCATTGAAGCTGATGCTGTGCTGCTGTTTTTTTTCTTTTGATTTTTCTAGTGGAAAGCTGACTATCAGGGCAATAAAATATTATAAATTTCCCTATGAATTCTTTCTGTTGTTAAATTATTTCCTCCATGTTAAAATCATGGTACTAGATTAGATTAGTCTGGAATAATAATAAGTACAGTAGAGAAATTTGAAGAGGCACAAATAGATCTTTTTAAATAGGTTTACATTTTCTCAATCCTTTCTCATTATAAACAGAAGGAAAGTCACTCCATTTTACCTCCCCAAAATTCTAAACACAAAAGGATCAAATCTTTACTTAAACTCTACATTATATCTTACATTACTAATAAATTACTTTTAATTCCTAAAAAATAATAATAATTAAGAGCTCATTAAAACAACTCATTACTTACACATGCTTTTCTCTGATTAATATATGGCAAACTGATTCCATAGCTCGCATTTACAGCAGCTCTGTGGTGGATGTTTTCAGGATCCTGCATGATTTTTACATTCAACCCTATCTTCCGCTGAAACAAAGAAACAATGAAACTTTCATGCCGGATGAACAAAAATGCTTACTAACATTTTTTATCCTCAAAGGAACATGGAGTTCTTTGAAAACAATTATTTTAATGTAATTCTCACTGGGAAAAATGTATATATTTGAACTTTTTATTTAGGCTGCTAATTGGTCCCTTTTATTCACAAAAAAGGACTTAGTATAGATTTTCCTCCATGCAGCCTACCGTTCACATTAACGTCTTCAGATACCATCCTTTTTTTCAAAAATAATGCTAAGAGCCAAATAAGGTAGATAAAGGACTGGTATACTTGGTCTCCATTTATTTTCAGTTTTCCAGGTCAAGAATGAAATCTATACTACAAATACACAGGTAGAGGGCTCCCTAGGTCTGTTAATGTGGCCACTTTCCTCCTGGGACATTTACAGGTAAATCTCAGTTTGGACTTTATAACTTTACAACAAATTTTTATCTACTTTTTCATGGAGATTTTGCTATCATTAAGAATAATTTGTGCTTTCATTAGAAAAAAAAATAAAAACATCTCACTTGAATCATTTATTCCTCATTTTAAATGATTCAAAGTAGTTACTGCTGAAATGTAAAAAATGACCAACTAGAGTAAGCTGCCCCACCACAAGTGGTGGTGGAAAGGGGCAGAAGACCTACGTTCTAGTCTTGCCTTCACCTAGACTGCCTGTGTGTGACCTTGGGTAAATCATTTCATCTCTTTGGTAACCAGTTTCCTTATTTGCAAAACGAGACAGTTGGACTTGATGATCTCTTTAGCAGTTATCCCCCAGAGTTAGCATACTATGACTTGAGGTTAACAGGTAAGTTGGTTCTTAAAAGATGGTATTACCAACAGTTTCTCAAGTCTTTTGTAACTCATTAAAAGTTAAGGTATAATTCACATAGCATAAAATTCACCCTTTAAAAGTGTGTGATTTAGTGGTTTTTAGTATATTCACAAGTCATGCAACCACTACCACTGTCTAATTCCAGAACATTTTCATCACTCCAAAAAGAAAGCCTATACCTATTAAGCAATCACTCCCCATTTCCCTCTTCCCCTCCGCCCCTGTCAACCATTAATCTACTTTCTGTCTCTATGGATTTGCCTATTCTGGACATTTCATATAAATGGAATCACACAAATTGTGGCCTTTGTGATTTTTTTTTTTTAAAGGAGGTTGAGGTGTTGCAAGCAATTTAAAAAAGTGATTTTTTTTTTTTCAATTAAGTATCTTAGTTCTGAGGGTGCTCTGATGCAATTATTAAAATAGTTGTAGAAACCAGAAAGATTAGCTCATGATCCAGCTATTTCTTTGATCATAAATGTTCATAAATGGCCTAACGTCAAAGTAAAGGGGAAAGCTGTAAAAATATCTATGGAATGTATGCTGTCCAGATAAGCTATTGCTTAATACAGGCTCCAGACCTTCCTTTTATTTTTTTTAAATAGCAGTTTTTAAATGAAATTTCCAAATAATTGCTCTCAACTGTCCATTTTATTTAACCCATGCAAGGACCCAGGTTACAAACAAGACATGTCTATTCTCTTCTCTTTGAGGTACATGTAGTGACAAAAATAATACAGTGCCTAATTATAAATGGTTTTCTTTCTGACACTCACAGAACTACTCTGGGGTTTTTGCATGGAAGCTGAGTGCTTCTTTTATTGAACTTAATACCTGAACATAATTTTTTCCTTCTTAATTAAACTTTCAGAATAATTTCCATTCCACCAAGGATCAGGAAATTGCTAATATGTATTATATTGACTGGATGTAGTTTCTGTAATTAGGGTGTTTTTTAAAGTGTGTTCTTGATACAATTGATGGTAATAGCTTCATCTATCATTTCTAAGCTTTGTTAGAAACTTTTTAATTCTGGGATCATTGGCTCAGTGGACCATAGCAGTTTCCTTAGTTTTATTATGCTCCATCAACTCTGTGTAGCCAAAAGAACTAGTGGAGGGAGAAGATGATAAAATATGGAATGCTTGTTAAAACTGCAATTAAACTCAGTTGTTTTCTGCTCACTTTTACATTTCTGTGGCACACAAATATTTTAGAAAAGAAATCAGTATGTAGTAAGTTTTCAACAAGAAAATGAAATTAAAAATAAAAAAGAAAGAAATCAGTATGTAAAATGATAGGCTACAATATCAATTCTTTATTGTTAGCTTCTAAAGCAATGGGAAAGATTCTTTAAAATTGTTAGTATCTTAATATTTACTATTTTGGCACCAAAGCATGTGAATATAGGATAATAATAATAATATTTAGAACATGTAATTTAATTTTTCTTTAAAAGACACGTTAAAACCTTTCAAATTTAAATAATATTAACATATCGAATCAGTTTACTGACATTCACTACCAAATACATTTAAAACCTACATTTGTCTTCCATAGATAAATGAAAAAATATTTATAAGCATAAACTTATAATACAATTAGAGATTGAAAAAAATAAAAACAAAATTAATCATTCCATTAAGCATGTTCTGGAAGATGATCTTTTTTTTTTTAACCAACAATAAGATAAATATCAGAAACGATTTTAGAAATTTTTCTTAAATTGGTCAAGAAAAGACAACAATATATTTAATCTATCTTGAGTCACTAAGCAATCTAAACTTTGTATTCTCTCCTTTGATAGTAATTACATGCAGATATATCAAATGTGACTCTCATTTAGACTTTGGTTTGTAAGAACAAAAGTTATTATCAGAGCCAATTACTGTTTTACCTACATGGCTGCACAGAAGCAGGGAGCTCAATTTTCATCTCATCAGTGATTTTGTGGTATTTATTTTATTACTATGCCCACAAAGCTATATAAGAAGGAAATAGCTTATGCTATTAAAACTAGGGTTTGAATATAAGAGGCTAAGGTTTCTTTTAGAAGAACTTCTGAATTAAAAACACTAGGCAGCGTGTAATGCCAGCTCCCCAGACATGGGCAGACCATAAAATGATACACATCTGAGCAGTAGATCCCATACAGAGTAATCAAAATTGAAATGCTTCACAAACAAAGTTGAGACAGGCTATTTACTAAGTTACAATATTATCAACTAACATTATTCTCAACAGTGTTTTCTGCAAATAATGCCTTCTAAAGTGGGTATTGCTTAATATCATATTCCCAGTGGTTAAAGACATCTGCTGTTTCATATCAAAACTGGAGAAAAGAAAAAGAGTCCAGCCAGTTTTTACAGTTTTTACACTCTGATTCTCTCAACCATTATTATATTTATGGAAAGAACAATGGATGTCAAGCCCTGACTCTCCACTTTCGAGTCATATAATCTTGGGTGAGTCATTTCACCCCTGGAGCCTGAGATTTCTCATTGGTTAAACTGGGCAATAATAGCTACCCTGACAGGTTGATCGTGAGGGTTAAATGACTGATGTATGTCAAGTATCTTGCAAACTATAATGGAGCTGACTTCAAGGGGCTCACACTGACCAAAACATAAGTATTGCAATGGGCTGAAATACTTTAAACATACAAAAATCCATGAGTTAATACTATTTCCTCCTCTCTCCACAATAAAACCCTAACTGAGAAAACCAATAACCTAATCTAAAAATTGATAAAGGAAAGGAAAAGATCAAGCATGTATACTGCTTTTCCTAAAAGAATTGTTTCCACGTTATCAAAGAGTTGATAAGGACAAGTTCTTCACAGAAGCTAATAAATGCAGAAAGGATGACAGAATAATAAAATCACCACTTTGGAATCCCTAAAAAAATAATGTATTAGATAAACATCAATGTTGCTAATTCCATTAGATGAAAGGTTGTGGGGGACTTTACAATGGATAGATCAGGCTTGATAATACTTGGACTCATTGACCAATAACATCATTTAAAAAATGAAAACAGAAACTGCCTCCTGATATGCTCTAAAAGGAAACAAACAGCATCACCTGTGAAGTATTCCTGCCAAAAAATGGATCCTGAATCTGACCAAGCTTCAAGATAAAACTAGTTTACAAGGCATTCTGGGGACAGGTGAACATGTTCGATGACACCATAAGGTTGCAATCAGCCACATCCAGACTGTGAGAAAAACCTACTAACAAATGGCCTGGTTTCTTTAACAAATAAATGACAATTTTAAAAGGAGGAAAACTGTTACAGGTAAAAAGATATAACTGTAATGTGTGGACCTAATCTGTACCCTGATCCAAACAAAGAGTAGAAAGACATTTTTAAGACAATTGAGGAAACACTGGAAATAGACTGGGAATTACATATTATTAATTGCTAAATTTTTCAGGTGTGATAATAGTTATTTTTTTAACATGTTCTTGACAGAAAATATATTGAAGTACTTAAGGGTAAAATGATATGATGTCTGGGTTTTGCTTTAAAAGACCCCTCCCCCGCCAAAAAAAAGAGTAGAGAGCACAGATGAAGTAAGAATGGTAAAGTTATGGTAATCTTTAACACTGGGTGACGGTTACATGGAGTACATTCTATTTTTCTGTCTATTCAAAATATATTTCCTAAAGAAAACTTAAAGTGCATTTAAATATAATTATTCATTACCTTATTATTATTTCAGCTCTACCGTTCTATGGAGGAGCTCTGGTGGTATATTGGTCAAGGCATTTGGCAACTAACCAAAAAGGTCACTGGTTCGAACCTACCAGCCTCTCTGCAGAAGAAAGATGGAGTAGTCTGCTTCTGTAAAGATTTACAGCCTTGGAAACCCAATGGGGTCACTATGAGGTAGAATCTACTTGATGGCAGTAAGTTTGTTTTGGGGACCTTTCTATGGCTCTAAGATTTCCCCTTTTCCTGATAGGACGAGAAGGATGAACAAGAAGAAGCCCTCCATAATCACAGCATTATTTAACTCCATGCTGTTTCTAAATAGCCTAGCTTCCACCTAACTGCCTCAGATTCACAAAACCTTAAGACATAACTATTTCTGTTCACCGCAACTCGTCTGTCAATTTGCCGTACTGTGGTGGCTTGTATGTT